GATGTCACCCCTGTGCCACGGCAGCGTGTCCCAGCACCCACCCCTCACCTGGGACCTGTCTGACTCCAGCCTTGTTGGGTTGGCTGGGAATTTTTCAGTGAATTATTTTTTTCACAAGCAACGGTGAAACCAAAACCCAAATGGTTCCTGGGGAAGTCAATATGCTTCTTAGACATAATGCGGTTATGTGGCTTGTTTCTGGATTTTGGTCAAAAAATACTTTTTGTGAGACCATAGTAAATTTATAAGGGACATCAAAATGAAATAATTCAAAATTATAACAAAATTATTCAAAATTGATTTTTTTGATGGACCAAAGCCAATTTTTGTTATATGTAAAAGCCAAGGATCCCCAGAAGGCTGCCAGAGAAACTCCTCCAGCCCCTAAAGCCAGCATGGCCAGCACCTCAAACAGAGACCAGCCAGCACCGAGGTCCTTGGGGCTGGCTTGGGGAGGTGGGACATGGCTCCGTGGTGGCCGTGCCCCGAGGCATCCACCGGTCCTCACCAATGAGGATGAGCCGAGCCGTCTGGAAGAGCTGCTCGTCGCTCCAGGTGGGATGCTCCCGTTTGAGGACGTCGCAGACGCGGTTGTGCTCGCGCAGCCAGAGCGTGGCATACAGGCAGAGCCCCGGCAGCAGCCCGAACACCTCCTGCCCCATTGCCAGCTGCTTCTCCTTGGGGACGCCCGGAGGGTACACCATGTGAACCGGAGCATCAGTGACCGTGGGGGGGTACACCTCTCCGTCCACCACCTTGGGGAGACAAGAATGGGATGGCAGAAAGGGAGGAGGGGAGAAACCCACCCTGGTGAAAGCCCAGCTGGGACATGCCTCCCTCCAGGCACCATGGCCATGGGAACAGCTACACCCCACAGCCTGTCCCTCCAACACGGCACCTCTGGCCAGCAGCACCGGGTCTGGGGTGTCCCAGGAGCTGGCAGAGGGACATGGGCTCCAGGCAGCCCTGGATCATGGGACTCAGACACGTTTCTGTTGTGCTGGGTGGTACCTGGAACTTCAGCTTCCCGTCTCTGAAGAGTCGCAGCTGGTGCTGCCGCTGCAGGTTGTCCCCGTACAAGTGCCCGAGATCCACCTGCCAAGAAAACACAATGTCAGGCTGCTCCAAAAGGCCCTGCATGCCCCAG